CAAAGTCAGCATGGACTTTGTCCTTGAGTTCTTCAGGGATTGGTGCGCATCGACTCAACGCCCTCCAATATGAATTGTTGGCCCCGCTGTTTCCAAGTTAGCAAAGTACAGCACAACCCGTGTGGGTGGATGCTTACTCCGAAATGGTGGATCATATGGCAATGCAGCATACTAGCTGCCGGGAAGGAAATCTCGTACCGAATCACGGTCCAATCGCCTGTGGAGTTACCCAGCCGACACCCATCGCGATTCGGCGGATCCACAAAATTAAAGTTGTCCGCCAGGTCACCCTCCTTGAGGGCCTGCTCAACGGTGTCATAGGGAAACCACCCGTGCCCCTCCCGATGATGAAGGCCTTGTGGTTGTGCTTGTGGAACGGGTGTTGCGAGGTCACGTTGGCGCCTTCTCGATAACGATATCACGACAGACCCGTTCTTCAATGAGCCCTCGGCGTACGTCGTGTCGCCGCGAGACTTCTCTTCCACAGGACGGGCGGCAATTGTTGGCGGAAGGCTTGGTGTGGGCCGATGTTGAGAGCCCAGGTAGAGGCGCCTAGCATCTCGACAAAGAATTTGAGCGTTGTGTCACTAGTTTGGGGCGGAGGGCGCGCGGGAAGGGGGCGAGCTTTGTTTCGTCCATGGCGGAATAGGGAGGGGGAGACGAGAGTTCCGTTGAGGAAGACCCAAGGCTCTGTGTTGGGGCATTGAGGGCTGTGGAATCTCCAGTGTTAGGATAGCGGAGGATACCAGGCCTTGGATGATTTGCTCCCGGCGAAGCGAGGTAAGTCGGATGGCAATAGTCGCCAGGCTTCTTGTTAAGGTGGACCAGGATGCTGATGCGCTCGCCAAGGTTGCAGTTTGCAGCGTGCACCTTCTGGGGATGGACAACTCACCGTCAGCGGCAACGACGTAGAACTCGTGCTCGTCGACGCTGATTTGAATCTCATGATGTGCGCCCTGCTATATGTCAGTCTCCACTCCATGTCTGCGTCCAAGGCGAGTATTCTCACAGAGTGGATGAAATTAATCCAGACCCATTCCTGTCCGTCTGCAGCTTGGACAACCTCCAAAGGCGTGTGTGTTTCCTCGCACACCAGCTCATTCGAGAATTCCAGCTGTCGAGGCTGCATCAGACATCCCAGCGAGTTTCGGCCCGGCCCACCGACCGACTCGAGGACTTCCTTCGAGTGGCAGTATGTTCGGCTTTTGCTGTTCAAAACTAGGGAGTTGCTGCACCAGGGAACAATGCCGGCATCTCGGTACATGACTAACAGCTGCGAAGAGTCAGTATCTCTTATTATTGTTGGTGTGCTCAGGTCGCAATGTCATCACGAGTCAAGCGTATGAGCACCTGATGCGAGAATATTGGAAGGCCCGCTTACTACAAGCACAGTCAGTAAACCATCGGGTATAATAAATCAGAGAGTACTCACCAATGTCCATTGGCTCTGCATTCCGGTCACTGATGATTATATGATGAGGCTGCTTTTCAGCAGCTCGCATTCCCTCAATATCGGCGGGCAGCGAGGAAATCAAGCTGTAAGGGCGTGGCCGCCACTCCGCAGGTCTGATCCAGATCGGGCCTCGCATGCCATCTGCAAAGGAAGGACCGAAATGCCCATGGTAGAAGTAGCTGCCATATTGCTGCTGGACGGTGAAACGGTAGGTATAATTATCTCTGGATTGGACCGCGTACTGAGTCACTCCAGGTACACCGTCATTCCAAGGCCGATCAATTTGGTAAATTCCATGCCTGGCGTGGGAGTAAGCGTCAAGTCACATGGGAGGAAGGGTTAAAAGTAGTGTTTGGACGAACCAGTGCATAGTCGTCTCGAACGTGAGCTGATTATCCAGAAAGATCTCAAACTCATCGCCTTCGTCGGCCTCGATAACTGGACCTGGAGTCTGACCGTTGATGGCAAAAACAGGTCGCCCATGACCGTCTCCGGTGTTCCATACGTTCGAGATTGTGAAGTTGTATCGTCGTGTAATCTTACACTCTGCTAGCGGCAAGGCAAGCAACGCCAAAATGCACCTTATCACAGTAGCCATGATGGTGGTGGTTTTTGCAAGATGAAAATTGATTCAGGAAGAGAAGAGCTAATGGACGAGAACCGTTACTGATCTAGAACGGCCGCTGAACGAGAAGCAAGTGTTGCCCAACTTCTCCCTATGCTACATACATACTTACCTTAATTACCATATAGGGAAAGTTGTAGAGGATCTAAATCACCTCCGAAGTTTCAGCAAGTATACTAGTCTTCACCGTTTGCACTTAGTTTGGAGCCTGACTCGTAAATTATCCTCTAGGAAAATTTGTCCTCTGAGACTTCTCGCCTCTTCCGCAGTGGGTCCTCGGGGACGCATCACTATCCGACGTCATGCACCTGCCTCCCCACTGGATCCAATAAATCCTAAGTTAGCCCCTGTCTCAATGACGCTTGTAATGCATGAGCGGGTCACGCTACGGGAGGATTCTACCATTGTTAAAATAATTCAATACAGCCCTTAAGGAGTCTAATAAACAAGGCCGCGTGTACTTGAAGCAGCCGATTCAGACAGGGGCATGACTCGTATAAATTGGAGCTTTCCATTTCTGATCTCTACTATGGTACTATGGTATCATGGATAAGTTTTCAATTGTGTGTTTGTACCGTGCCCCACCTAGGCACGCGCTAACTCTTCGCTACCTAGCTTAATAAGACCTTAATAGCTGTCTTAATATGATTAAGAGAAAACGTTATAGTAGTGTGCATTTCGATGTACCACCGACGAAGTAGAAGGTTCGAATTCGTTAGCGATCCGCTTCTAGGTAGGTCGGATAAGCTATTAGGAAATACTCTATATATTATTTGATAGATAAAAATTATGTACTTCTTTAAAATATAAGTATAGATAGCTTTAGAAACCGAGGAAGTTGAACAAGTTGAGCGGTTAACAGTCTGTATGATTACTATACTACAGAGTTACTACTGAAACGGGGTCAGGCGGTCAGTAGGATATACCTACCACCTAACATACTGAACAGACGGCTCCAGTACCAACAGATCCCATCTGTTGGTCTGATCAGACGAAGATCGTGGTACTGGTTGCAAGAGCTTCGCTCTTGCAAGTCTGGTGCGCGAGTTCGTCGGATGTGCCTCTGATACTCGTGGCGGGATAATTCTCAGAACAAGACGTCTGGCTCTGGAAGTCGAATTGAAGCTCTCGCTGGCACTAGATTGCTCTGATCAGAGCAAGATACAATCATCTGTCATTATCAAGGCTAGGATGATGTCAGAGAACAGAATGCCATAGGCACCGGTGGGACACCGGTGGGGCTCCGGTGTAGGAATGTGCGAGTCATGACGATATGGAAGTCTTGGTTTGCGGAACAATCGGGGAAACTAGTGCTCCGCGGCTCCGACGTCGGGTTCTAGCTATCTATGTAAGGGGCGGAGGCCCGGGAAGAAGATAGAGGGAGAGTAGAGATCAATGCATCACCGTGGGCACCCCTACCTGAGACCGCCAGTGACCACCCGGTGCTACGTAGGAGGGACGCCCGTTACTCCCCATCACTCTGTACTATTGCCTTCGGCCTAGCCGTACCCTGACACGTTGATCTCTCCACCCGTCTCCGGGCGTACGGACCGTTGGGGAGAAAATGGCGATGCGAAGAGCCCTGATGCGAAGCCAGACCACAGCCGCAGGCACGCTGGGTGACACCGGAGGAGCTACATCGAGTAGTGCAACGACGACGACAGCGACGCAGACGAGCAGTGGCACTGTCGACGCTACGACGACAACAGCGACGATGAGGCAACTGAGCCGGTCCCAACTAGAGGAGCTCGAGCTAGAAGAGCTTGACCGTCTAGTGGAAGAAGAAGTAGTGAGGAAGAAGAAACGAGAAAGGATTGGACAATTGGAAGCTTTAAGAAGGGGAGAGCCGCATAATAGTACCGCCGGTGGGACCCAGGTTGAACCTATCGGACCAGGCCTAAAGCGACCTCGGCTTGATCTAGGAGGGAGAGGCCACTTGCCGACACTCAAGTACCGGGGCACCAACTGGTCGGAACTTACCTCGTTCATGTTAAACCTAAAGGGGAGATTCATGATGTACGCGGAGGACTTCGACACTGATGCGGCGCGTGTACTGCACACCACCGGATGCCTTGATGGGGCGGTGCAACGACGGTGGACCAGCCACGTTGCTACTATTACAAAAACGACTTGGGGAACGTCCGGTGGGACGCTATGGAGAAGTGGCTGGAGAGGAGTGTGGCTAGCGACGATACGCGAGTGATCAGCGTGATGCAGAGACTCGATAGTATCACCCAGCGCCCCAACCAGAGCTACCAGCAGTTCATCGACGTATACGATGCTATAGAGACAGAGTGCCCTGATCAACTACCGGAACGGATAACGCGTCGTCAACGTACTCAAACCGCTTACGACCGGAGTTGAAGCGACAAGTCATGACCGAGGACTTCCCTCGACTCGGTATGAGCTTGACGACGTAGCTAAGCAAGCCGAGGCGATTGAAATAAGCAGCAGACCACCGGTGTACCAACAGCCTGGCCCGAGGACCAACGCAACATCGTCCTCGACCCCAGCACCAGCAAGGGAAGAAACATCAGACGGGAATGCAGGCCAACAGGCGCCCAGGAGGGATGTGGCTTACGGCCAGTGCTACTCGTGCGGACAGACGGGACATTACTCTCGACAATGCCCTAACTGCAGGACCTGCGGTAGAACCAAACATGACGGACCTTGTCCTGAGGACCGGAACCCAAACACAGCGCCGCTGGGGGTCCGCCACACCGAGCCTCAATAGGGGTACGAGCAGCCGCTCCGTCTGGAAACCACCATCCGTCTCCGGGTTGGCGGCTGCTGGCGCATTGGAAAAGCCTTGATTGACACCGGAGCCGACGAGAATGTCGTGGACTCAAGAGTGCTTGGCATCGAGCCGGGTACGTTACAAGACTCCGGTGAGACGCTGCGGGGCATGTGGGGAAGCAAAGGTCCCAACTATGGCAAGAGGGTATTACATACAAAGATGACGGACGGCTTCGGGGTGACGAAGACGAAGGCTCACGAATTCCGAGTCTCAGACGCAGAAGACTGGGTTGCAATCCTTGGGCTCCCCTGGTGCCGTGCCGTTGAGCCTATATTTCGATGGTCCTCGTTAGGATGGACGTACCCTCTCGACGTGGACAGTCTACAACTGGTGACCAGCAAGAAGGATATACGGAATGCGTACCACGAGGCAAAGTACAGTATGATAGCAGTGCCCGCGGTAGCAAGGGTCGAAGCTAGCAAGGACAGAGGAGCCGGAGCAGAGCCGCAGACCAAGTGTGCCACCGTGCCGTCGGAATACGCAGAATTCCTCCATCTATTCGACGCGCAGTTAGCAGGGAAATTGCCAGATGGAAGGTTTCGGTCACACAAGATCGAGCTAGAGCCAGGTGCCGAGCCGCCGCACGGGCCCATCTATCCACTAGCGGAGAAAGAGCTCGAGGAACTACGAGAATATTTGAAAATGGCCTTGAGCAAGAAATGGATTCGGCCCTCGCAGAGCCCAGCTGGGGCGCCGATCCTATTCGTACCGAAGAAAGGAGGAAAGTTGAGGCTATGTGTGGACTACAGAGGCCTTAACAAGATCACTGTGAAGAACAGAGCGCCACTACCACTGATCGGTGAGATCTTGGATAGGCTAGCTTCCGCGAAGTGGTATACGAAGCTGGATCTGAAGGATGCATACCACCGGGTCCGGATCAGCGAAGGAGACGAATGGAAGACGGCGTTTCGGACGAGATACGGTCATTTTGAGTATCTGGTCATGCCGTTCGGACTAGCTAATGCGCCGGCGACCTTCCAGAGCTACATCAACGACGCACTAGCTGGACTTGTGGACGTGATCTGTATCGTCTACTTGGACGACATCCTTATATTCTCTAAGGACAGGAGTCACACCAGAGCATGTCCGGGAGGTCCTCCGCCGGTTGGACGCCGCTGGCCTGTACGCTAATCAAGACAAATGCGTCTTCCACACGCAAGAAGTCGAGTTCCTAGGGTTCGTGGTGTCACCGGAGGGGATCCGCATGGAAACCGACAGGGTGGATGCTATCGCGCAATGGCCAGCCCCGGCTAGTATCCATGATATACAGGTTTTCCTCGGATTTACTGGGTTCTATCGCCGGTTTATCAAGAACTACTCGAAGATAGTAGCACCCCTGACAGACCTACTCAAGGGAGGATCATCTGGAGCGCTGCAGCTCGATAATGTAGCACACGAGGCGTTCTACAAGCTACGCCTGGCCTTCACACGAGCACCTATCTTGAAGCATTTCGAGCCTGGACTACCTATACGTGTAGAGACTGACGCATCAGACTTCGCAATTGGCGCAGTACTTAGCCAGCTGCACGGAGACAGGTGGCACCCAGTGGCTTTTATGTCCAAGAAATTGAAAGGTGCTGAGCTACGCTACGGGACACCCGATGCGGAGCTGCTCGCGATTATTGAGGCAACACAACGATGGCGGCACTATCTGCTGTACAGTCAACAGACGATTGAGATTCTCACGGATCACTTGAACCACCGCTACTTAGCCAGTAAGCCGCAGCTCAGCGCTAGACAAGGTAGATGGCTACAGGACCTTGCGAACTATGACTTCGAGATCATATATCGACCAGGCACGAAGAATCCTGCCGATGGGTTGTCAAGACGGCCTGACCACCGCGCGACAGCGGGTGAGAAACAGGAGGCGCAAGTAGCGTTCTTGCCAGACTTCCTACAACGATTTAGGAGTATCAGAGTGCGAGTAATGGAGACACAGCGCGCAAGCGGTGCTACAGCTGGCGTCCCTATGCCGGAAGAGTTGGCTCCGACATTACTTGAAGATGTCAGGAAAGCCCAGGCAGAAGACGAATTCGTCAGTAGCGGAGCGTGGAAGTCGCTCAGCCGCGTACCGGGTGCGTGGTACCAGGAGGACGGGCTGCTTTGCTATAAGGGCCGCGTCTTCGTACCAGATAACCATCCGATCCAGCGGGAGATACTGATGGCCTTCCATAACGAGCAGACTAGTGGCCACCTGGGGGTCACTAAGACAGTCAAGAGAATCAGTAGGTCGTACTTTTGGAAATCGCTGACAAGAGATGCGAAGGACTTTGTTAGGGGGTGTGCAGTCTGCCAGCGAATAAAGGCGCGACACCATCTGCCCTACGGGCAGCTAGCTAGTCTGCCGGTACCAAACCGACCATGGGAGCAGATCTCTCTCGACTTTATTACAGGGCTTCCATCTTCGCAG